GTCCGCTCACCTCTGCCTGTCAGCCGGCCCCGAGGGGAGGGACATGGGCGGAGCCCCGGGTGCTGGAGGCCGGTGACATCACCCAGAAGATCGTGTCCCCCCCAGTACCCGAGACCGGAGCCGAGGGCCGTGTCCAGGGCCGCGTCAGGGGGCAGGAGGGTGGGGAGCGCAGGCCGGGAGCGCCGAGCCTGCAGTGGGGACGAGAGCAGGCAGGCGCCTCCTGTCCAGCCTCTTCCTCCATTCGGCCTTAACCCTCCCCGCCCCCCTCAGTTGACTTCTGCAAACGTCTAGCGGGCACCTGAGCTGGGCCACACCCTCGAGTGCCTGCGCCCTGGGCAGGAAGCAGGCGGGCCCGGTGGGACCTGGGCCTGCCTCCCCTTGGTGCTCAGAGCCATGGGTACCTGGGTGTTTCATCCCAGCGTTCCGCCTTAAGTTCTCCTGGATCTCCACTCCAGCCCTTGGGGAGGGATGCAAACCTGCCTGTCACCACTAAGTACGACTGATAACCTCGCTTCCTCCTCCCCAGGGAGCCCAGGGGAGGCGCCCTCCCGAGGCCACCGCTGCTCATGCAGACCACTCAGCCATCTGGCTACTGATGTCATGAGTAACACGACAGTGCCCAATGCCCCCCAGGCCAACAGTGACTCCATGGTGGGCTATGTGTTGGGGCCTTTCTTCCTCATCACCCTGGTCGGGGTGGTGGTGGCTGTGGTAAGGAGCCCTCACATCAGACGTGGCTAAGGCAGCTGCTGGGTGGGCCTGGCCTGGTGCCCACAGCATCTCAGCTGTAATTTAAGGGAGTGGAATTGGGTCCTCAGGATGGGCCACGCTGACCTCCCGGCTTCCACAGTCCCATGTCTCTGTTACAGGTGATGTACATGCAGAAGAAGCAGCGGTGAGTGTCCCCTCTGCCAGGCTTTGATAGTCACTGGAGAGGCCCTGTGATGGCCTAGGGGATCTCTAGCTTGCGGGAGGGGAGCAGGCACCAGTGTCAGATGAAACAGGGCCTGGGCTGAGCCTCGCCCCCCTCCCCATTCCCTAGGGTGGACAGGCTGCGCCACCACCTGCTCCCCATGTATAGCTACGACCCCGCGGAAGAGCTCCATGAGGCTGAGCAAGAGTTGCTGTCTGACGTGGGCGACCCCAAGGTGAGAACATTCTCAGTCGAGCACAGCACTGCAACTGGAGACTGTTCTGCCCTCACTGGACTGGCCAGATACCTCTAGTAAATGCTGGGCAACAGGGTGGCTGGAGCCGTTTGCTTTTCTCCTCCTCACAGGTGGTTCGCGGCTGGCAGAGCAGCTACCAGCACAAGAGGGTGCCCTTGCTGGACATCAAGACGTAGACTGGTCATGCTCCCTCCCCCCATGCTACCCACCCAGACAGGTGCAGGGTATCTATTGGGGAAGCACCCTTGGCTGGTGCCAGGCCAAGCCGGCCTGGCACTTAAAGAGTGGGTGGCTGGGTGACAGCTTTGCTTCCTCTAGCCTGCTTGGAGTTGGTTTTGCATAATCCAAGAGGCCTCTGAAGTTGTTCCCATGGTGACAGGCTCAGATGTATAGTATCCAGTGTATATATTTTGTAAATAAACTTTTGTGGCTTCAAGTTGCCCTGGCTGTGTGGGGAAGAGCAAGCTGCCTGCAGCACCTTACCCCTCTTGACTGGTTTATGCCCTGCTAACCCCCACCTCACACCAGAAACTGTGTCCAGAAAAGGCTTTTTTATTCAAGTAACTGCAAATAGGAAACCAGAGGGGGAGCCCCAGGCCGGGACAAATACTGGCCACCCCTCCCCCACAGAACAAGGGGGGGAGGTGGACCTACACCCTTTTCCCATCAAAATGGGCCCACCTCCTCACTCTGCTGCAGCATCCAAGGGGCAGGGCCCCATCTTCCCTGGGGTGGTTGGTAACCAGCCTGCTGCGCCCCAGCCCCCCTTTCCCCTAGAGTGTCTGGGGAGAATGCAGGCAGAAAGGGAGGATGAACTCTTGGCGCTGGTAGCAGCAGCAATGGTGGGTATCTAAGAATGAACATTGAACAACAAAAAAACAACACAACTGTCCAGAGGTAGTTTGTGAACAGAGGAAAAGATGAACCAGAACCTTGGGGGTGGGGGCAGGGAGGAGCAAAAGGAGGGGGGCAAGGCTAGCTCCTTAGTGCCCCTCTGGAGGAAGGGGAACAGCCTAGAGTCCGAGTGGGGGAGGTGAGTTGGCGCCCCATCTGCCTCACGGGGACATCACCCTGGAGATGGGTGGTGACTCCCATCTGTCGCTGCATTGGGTCCCAGGTGAGAACATGGTGGGTGGAGCCACCATGCCCTACTTCCTGTAGCCAACCTAGTGCTGCAGAGTCTAGGTAAGGTGGGGCAGAAGTGGCTGAGAAACCCACCTGGTGAGTTTGGTGGGGGCGGGCGTGCTGGGACCTAAGCATCCCGGCGCTGACCACACCTGCTGCTAGTCCAGTCAACGGGGCTTGTCAGATGGGGCTGGGGCCCTTTAAGGCCAGGGAATGCTCCCGGGACCCTCCCTCTCTCTACAAGGAAGCCAGGAAGAGCAGAGCAGAAGGGACAGGCAAAACAAGGAGCCCAGAGAGCACTGTCTCTAAGGGAGGTGCGCAGCAGGACAGGCTGCGGCTAAGAGGAAGTTAGCCTTGTCGGGAGAGGGCAGGTGTGTTGGGGAGGGCACATGGGCTGAGCCAAATCCTGCTCCCGTGGGTGCGGCAGTCGCAGAGCCTGCAGCTGGGCAGAGCCTGCAGCTGGTGCGGTAGTGTGCGGTGGGGGTGGGGAGGGGCCTGGGAGCCGGGCTTCCAGGCCCAAGGGAAAGCTGCTCCTTTGATGGCCAAGGAGCAGGCGGCACTGCGCGTGGTCACTGCTCCTCCTCCGAGGACTCCTGGGAGATGCCCTCCTCTTCCTCCTTCTCCTGTGGGAGGCAGAACAACTCTGGGCCTGGCCCTCCTTCTCCGCCAACACCCCTCCCTCCCAGGCTCTCTCCTCTGCAGAAGGGGGATGAGTCAGGGCTGAGTGTGTGGGTGACTCAGCAACCTCCACGCTGCTTTTCATTCATAAAAATGAAGGATTTAAAGGGAGGAAAAAAACCACACACACACACTTGCTCTCACAGGCCAGACCAGGCACCTAGCCCAGGCCTGTGCTGAGGGCTGAGGAAGTGGTGAGCTCTCCAGGGAGGAGGCAGAAGGGCAAGAGACAGAAACAGGAGGGGAGCCAATAGGTGACTTAGGGCAGGTGTGGGCTGCTTAGGTGCCAAGAAGGCCTGGGGTAGCCACTGGTGATCTTGTGAGCCAGGGTGGGAAGGAAGTGTGTGCCCTAGGGGCTCACTCACTGGATGGGAATGTTGGGACACCACAGGGCCAGGCCCCACAGTGCCAGGCAAACTCCAAAACAACTAACTAGTTTCCTGTTACTCATTCCTGGGGTCTTGCCAGCAGGGCCCCCAGCCCCTCCACCAAGGGTGGCTCAGCTCAAGGAATGATCTTGCTTGGACAGCTTGGAAACAGGCTAAAAGAACAGTAGCATGGAGGCAGAGGTCCCTGCGGTAGTCCCCATACAGGAAGGGGCCATAGGACATGCTTCCCCGTACAGATCTGCACTTCCTGGTCTTTCCTAAAGGGCTCTAGTAAGGGGGGGGGGGCAGAACCCAAGGACCCCTCCCACAGTGGCATCTGAAATTAGGAATGTTTTTCTGGGGACGAGGGATCTTCTAAACCAAAGATAACCCCAATCTCACGTAACAGGTTTCATGCATGCTCACCAAACACCCCTGGCCACACTGGGGGCATTGTTAACACTGCACCCCCTCCACAAGAACCTACCAGTTTCTTGGGTCTGCCCCTTGGTTTCCTCCCTGGAGCTGTGGTAGCTTTCTAGAGTCAGAAGAGAAAAACAAAAAAATACTCAAGTCAGAGTGCTGTTCAGCACTCAACAGTTTCCTAAAGCCTGATGTGAGGGGTGATGGGCCTGGCTTGGGGCTGCCCAGGACCACCAGCAGGTCCACCCCGGTCCAGCTGCTGATGACTGGACAGCCCACGCCCCCACACCCAACACACACACACACCCCTACTCCCTCCTCAAGTGACTCAGAGGATATGAGTCGTGTGTTAAAAAATAAAAGAAAAACAAAGACCACTTTTTCCGCAAGGCTGATGCCACCGTGACTCTGGCCCTTCCTGTATGTCCTCAGGATGAACAGAAGGTGACAGTCCCAGCCCAGAGCTGGCACAGGCCTTCATTTTACAGACCTGAAAAGCTGGAACACCTAACTTGGTTTCCCCACTGTCCTGAGCACCTTAATTTCCACAATTAGCAAAGGATGCCACGGAGAAGGTCCTCACCCGTGTCTTGGCAGCGCCCTTGTTTTTGCTTCCCTTTGGTCGGCCCCGAGGTCTCTTCGGTGTTGGCACTTCACTGGGCTCCTTCTGCAAAGGTATGTGGGAGTCAGGGACATGGTAACAACCAAACTGTGCCCCTAAGAGCGCCTAACCTAGGAGCCCATAGGAGATGCAGCAGGCAAAGCCCTGGGGATTCCACACTTGCCTGACCATCATCAAGATAAGAAACCAGAGACCTCTGGGCAAGATGTCACTGGAGCAGGGAGGCCACTGTCAGATGGCCCTGATCAACTCTATCATCACCACCAGCACTCAAGAATTTGAGCCAGGAACACAGTGCTTGAGGCCACCCTGGGCAAACTATCTCAAGAGAAGCCAGCCTTGGCCCAGTGACCACCACCAGGTCCAGTAATCAGGATGGAAAGCAGAGGGGCTGAGCTTACAGGCCTAGCCAACTATGACAACCTGGTAGGGACAGCCTGCCACCTCCACAGGGCCACCAGCCTCCCTCACTTGGGAAGAGGGCATCCTGCTGGCCACCCTCCAAGGGACCTCACCCGGGGCTTCAATGCCCATGAACAGAGCCAGGGGAAAAAACACCCCCCCCAACACACAGGAACTCTTTCCCACCTGACATCAGAACAGAAATGGACAGCAAGGATGTAGAAACAGGACAGCAACTTGACAAGACTTGATCACAAGTGTAAAACTGTACAGCTACAAGCCAGCGGAAGAGCCAGGCCCTTGGCTCCATTCTGCGCAGGGCAAGAAGTATTCAAGTATTTTTAAGGCAGGACCTGGCCTTGCTGATTGATGAGCCTGCCTGGGCCCACATCTGCCTCCACTCTTCTGAGTGGATGTGAAGACAGGGGTGGCTCTCCATGCTATGATGCTCAACACCAACTTCTTTTGAATGGTTCTCAGAGGCCGCCCTGAACACCTTTGGGCAACGAGCACACACAGGGATGGGAAACACACACAAACACAAGGATACAGCCGTGTCCCTCCCTGCTGGGGTGCCAGGCACCACCCGAGCCCACAAAAGGAAACAAAAGCAAGGCTCTGCTTGAGTCACCCACCTGACTCCCTACCAGCGCCGTCCCAGGACTCACCGGAGGCTGCTTGCGTGGCCTACCCCGGCCTCGCTTCTCAGTCCCGTCCTTCTCCTGCTTGGAGGCCAGAGGCTGGCTGGACTTTGAGCTGGACTCGCTCATCTTCCTTCTCTATAGGGCAGTAGGGGGCACTGGCTGTGATGCTGGGAGAGAAAGTGGTGTGGGTTACACAGGGGCTCCCACCCTGTCCCTACCCCACACTATCCCAAGGCACGGGGCTGTAACCGCCAGTGGCAGAAGGCCCCTCTCCAGTTCACTGCCAGGGTGGCACCTGAGAGGTGCAACCAGCTCAGACCTGGCTGGAGGGGTGAGACTGGCCTGGGGCAAGTTGAGGTAGTTCCTTCAAGCCTAAGGAACCAGAACAGATGTCAGAGTCTGGCACATCCTCAAGATCCAGAGGTGGTGGCAATGAGCGGGGGAAGGAGCTGAGGGTGTCCTTGAGTAGTACCTGGACTTGCTTTGATAGCAACTTTGGGGAAAGACAGATTTCCAAATAGACCCTTCCAATTAAAAGACTCTCTGGGTAGCAAGGCCCGATTCCCCGAGTCCAGAACGACGCTGTGTGTGTGTGTGTGTGTGTGTGTGTGTGTGTGTGAGAGCGAGAGAGAGAGAGAGAGAGAGAGAGAGAGAGAGAGGGTGGGGACAGAGGGCCTACACCCTGTATTTAGGGATGTCCCTCTAGAGAGGTCAAAGACAACCCAGTCACAACCAAGTTTCAGTCACAGGCCCAGGAGATTCCACTCCACACTTCTTGAGGGACTAACACAGCCTGTCTCCAATGAGGGCAGAAACCAGTGGCCCAGGACAGGGACCAGGCAGCGGTCTCAGCGCCACCTGCAGATACCACTCTGGTGCTGTGAGATCAGGCTGAGGCTGACCCTAGTGCCTCAGTTTGCCTGGCAGAGCTCTTACCAAGGAAGCTGTAACCTCAAACTCTCTTCTCAGACTTTTGAGGCAGCTGCTAACTTTGACCCAACGACAGGAAAACATTTTGGAAATTTGTGATTTTAAAAACACTTAACGGTTCCTAATTCCCAAGCATCAAGAGACTCTCCAGATGGTGGGACTCTGCTAATTATTCTATTACAATATTTCAAACTTGAGACCCCTTTAAGCAGGGTGGCTGGGCCAGCTCCATCATTAGTGGCTTGGTCTGTTCTCTAATTACAGGCCGTGATTAGAATCTTACATTGCACCACAGGTCTCCTTCAAACCAAACATCAAAATTAATCAGCTAAATGAGTGCTGACCTCACACTGAGGTCCGCCGGAGGCCCTTCGGGGAGGGGGGTGTCATGGGGGAAAGCCGGCCCCAATCCCAGAGACCATGGGCCCAGCTTGCCTGGAGATCCTGGCCCGTCTCCCTGGACACTGTTATGCCACCTGGTGCCTCCCCAATCCCTACTGTTTGGAACTCTTTAAACCACCTGCTCCCCCCAACGCCCCCACTGAACTAAGAGCCGCGTCCCCGTCCAGCGAGGCCCAGAAAACGCTCATCACGTCCACCTGTTTCTGAACATCAGGACGGCCTGGCTTGCAGAAACCACAGTTAGGGGGTCTCCAGCCTGTCTGCTCACGAGGGTGCACACACGGTGGCCCTTCAATGTTTATGGGAGCTATGCAGGAAAAACCAGAGAAATAATATACTGGCAGGTCCATTGTTGGTTGTTTTTAATAGCTCAGAGAAGCCCCGGCAGCTGCCCAAGGTCACACAGCAACTTGGTAAAATGGAGTAGGCTCTTTCGGAATGCTTACAGACCGACACTTTGTTCACTGCGGAGAAGCAGGTTAAGACCCTGGGCGCCCTCTACTCCAGACTGAGGGTGCCTCCGCTAGCGTTCCGGCCTGGCGGTTGCAGGCCGGCGAGTCCAGGCGCTAGGGCGAGGGGGAGGGGCGCAGGCCCTGCAGGCGCGGGAAACGGCGCACCCCGACCACATGCACCGCCACGCGGGTGCGCCCGGACCCACTTCCTGCCAGAGGGGGCACCCAAGCCCGCCATGGGGGCAGGAAACCTGGTGCGAGCTGGAGGAAGAGAACCCCCATCCTCCCTCCCCCGAAAACCAAAACCCCAGAGAGGAGGGGGGGAGGAAAAAAACAGAAACAGAAACGGGGAGTCAGAGGGACTAGTCCTAACAGAACCCAGCAAAGCCGAGGAACCAGTTTGGAGGGGCGGAGGGCAGGCCGGGCCCCGGGGGCTGGAGAGTGGCGGGGCAGGGCCAAAGGTGTGTGTGTGCGTGCGTGGGTGAAGCCCCGAAACCCGGGGCCTCGAGAGCCGGCCTCGTCCCCGCA